AAGGGTAGTCTATCAGTGTTGCACCGCAGCGGTCAGCCTGCGCTGCAGAGGCAGGTGAATTTCTGCACATGTGCGCACCTACCAAGTAGGTGTAGATGGACGCACATGCCGCCAGGCACATTGCGCAAGTGCCAGGTAGAACACGTGTCGACGGTTTTGCCAGCCGTGCACCGTCGAGCACGTGATGCCGTTTCGCATGTTGACTTCGCGAAAACCTCCTGGGCGACATTCGCCTACACGTCGGATTTCGCAGTCGAGCGATTTTTGTGTCGACCAGCTCGACGATGCTCCGTCGAACAGCATTTGCCTAGACGAGCACGTTGAGCAGAGCCCGTATACCAGCACCTCTCTACGGGCTCGTCGACCAGTGTCCTCTGCGAGCTCATCGATCGCGTCCTCTGCGAGCTCGTCGACCGCGTCTTCTGCGAGCTCGTCGACCGCGTCCTCAGCGGACGCGTCGACCAGCATCCTCTGCGGACGCATCCACCAGCGTCCTCTGCGGACGTGTCTGCAGACTGGTCGAGGTCGAACTCTGCGGGCAGGTCGACGTCGAACTCTTCGCGCAAACTACATCGACTTTTGCGCGCAGTCTGCGTCGACTTCTGCGCGCCCCCGACTGCAAAGTCTGCTTCGCCCAAGCGAGGGCGGGGCCATGTCCCATCAACACTCCCCTACCGCGCTCACGCTTGGGCACCCCACACACTAGGTCTACCCAGAACCCAAAGGATAGAATACAAGGAGAAATTCCATCTGCGTGCACCCAACATATAGCATGCAGGTCACCGCACCAACCGTGCAGAAGGGCGCGTCACCTACAGCTGCACCTCGTCATCGTCGTCGCCGATGTCGGCCAGACGCACTTGGCTGATTGCGACAAAACACCAATTGAAAGCCAGAAAATGCAGCGCCTTTGTCAGAAAATCTGTCGGCTGCTCGGTGGTTGGGATGTACTGCAGAGCAATCTTTCCGTGCTTCACCATATGCTGCAGCCAGGCGTAGCGACGCTCCATGTGGTTGAGGTTGCCCTTGAGCCCCAAGCCCTCTGCGACCGTCATGGCCGACTGGTTATCCACGTGCAGCACGGTCGGCTTCTCAGCATCGAGCAGCTGGAACTCTGCAAGGAGGAAGCGAAGACGATGAGCCTCCTTGCCGGCTTCTGTGGCCGCGACATACTCCGACTCGGTCGACGAGAGCGTCGCGCATTTGATGCGCTGGCTCGACCCGGAGACTGTGGCCCCTCTGAAGACGAACACATAGCCGGCCGTGCTTGTCCGATTTCGCCTGTCGCCAGTGTCGTCGGCGTCCGTATAGCCGACCAAACACAGCGACTCTGGTCCACCGCCGAACTCCAAGGCGGTGTTACGGGTGTCGGCGCGGTAGTGAAGACAGTAGTCGACCTCGCGCCAGTGGTTGTCGCTCCGCACTGTCAAGCCGCTTCCCGGCTTGCTGCACGCGAAGGCAATGTCCGTCCTCGTTGTCGTCGCCGCAAACTACAGCGAGCCGACCTTCTGGCGATACTCCTCCTCTTCGCGCGACTGCGCGTCCTCGTCGTCGAAAGTCAGCTCTGCGTAGGCATCGACGGGGACCGGCGTCTTTAGCACTCGCCCGGTCTGCTCCTCGTCGATGAAACGCCGACGCAGCTTGTCGACGTAGACTTGGTGAAGCCACAACTTCCTCGCCGGCCTATCGCACACGATTTCCAGCCAGAGATACTTCTCGACCAGCTTGATCTTGCGTAGCTCAAAGGCGGCCTCCAGCAGCTCCTTCAGCTCCTTCTGCATTGCGAGGCTGCTGCTGGCAGCGAGCAGGTCGTCGGTAGACGAGCACCCAGCATGTCAATCCGTCGTCGCCAATCTTGAAGTAGAGAGCCTCGTCGACCTGGCTTTTCTTCCAGTCGGCGCCAGTCATCACTTCATCGAGCGCCTTGTACCACAGCAGCGGCGACTGCTTCAGCCCGTAGAGGCTCTTCAGCAGCTTGCACACTTGGCCGGTCCCGCTTTTGTAGTCCGGCTGGTACATGTAGAGCAGGCGGTCGAGCTTGCTCTGCAAGAACGCGTTCTTCATGTCGAGCTGCATCAGGTGTAGGTTGAGGACTGCTACGATGCTTAGGAAGATCCGCAGAGTCACATAGCTCCCCACCGGCGCATACGTCTCGTCGTAGTCTGTGCTTTAGACCTGCGTGAAGCCTTTCACGACCAGGCGGGCCTTCTCGCGGGCGACCGTGTCGTCGACGTGGTACTTCGTCATAAGCACCCAGCGATTCTTCATGATGTTGACACCGCGTGGATGCTCGACCAGCTCCCACGTCCCGTTGGTGATTAGGCTCTTGATCTCCTCGACCATGGCGGCCTTTGTGAGAATCAAGGAAGGAATGAATGCACTAGAAAGCAATTGAGTACATATAGGAAACCCTAACAGGGTTGTACTCACTATGGAGTACCCCACTGCAGACTAGAGAAACATGATATTCTGACACACCCCCATAGTCAAAGTGGGGTATGATCAGCACAAGAAGCAAAGCAAAGCAAGCTCAGGGTGGATCACAATGTCACCACACATTCTGAGCACAAGTACAAGAAGTAACAGTTTAAAGTTCACAATAAATAAGCAAAGCTAGAGGCTATCACAGAGGGCAAGTGAGGAGGAGGAGGCTGGACTAATAGGAGAGGAGAGAGGAGGCAACGGCGGAAGCTGCAGACACACGGGCAACAGGAGCGGCGCGCACTGTGGCTACCGGAGGCGCACCTCCGGACTATAGGAGTAACTGGCTCCGCGGCTAAGACGAGCGGCAGGAGCAACGGACCCACGGGCGACTGGCGCAGCGGCATCACTGGGCTACCGGAAGCGCACCTCCGGACTACTGGCACTGCTTGCAACACGACGGCTACCTCCACCCAACCTCCCTCTACTGCCGCACCCCCCATTCACACACCCCCTGCTGCACCCCTAGGTTCACTCACACGTCACCCCTTAGCACCACGCCTTTGGCTCACACTCATCCACCCCCCTCAGTGGCAGCTGCAGCAGTGGGAGACAAAGGAGGAGGAGGGGAAGGGAAACATACCACCCATCACCCCTATACCCGCCACCCCCATACCCTCCGTTCCACGGCTGCACGCGCAGCAGGGAGACGAAGAAGGGGGGGGGGAGAGCAGCAACGGGCGGCAATGGGCAGTACAGGGAGGCGGCGGCACCGGGTCCAGGGGCGGCGTCGCGGGGTCCAGGGGCGGCTGCTCCAGGGGCCAGGGGCAGCTGCTGAGGTCCAGGGGCGGCTGCACCAGGGGCGGCTGCTCCAGGGGCCAAGGGCGGCTGCTTCAGGGGCCAGGGGCGGCTGCTCTGGGTCCAGGGGCGGCGTCGCGGGGTCCAGGGGCGGCTGCTCCAGGGGCCAGGGGCGGCTGCTGAGGTCCAGGGGCGGCTGCACCAGGGGCGGCTGCTCCAGGGGCCAGGGGCGGCTGCTCCAGGGGCCAGGGGCGGCTGCTCCAGGGGCCAGGGGCGGCTGCTCCAGGGGCCAGGGGCGGCTGCTCTGGGTCCAGGGGCGGCTGCTCCAGGGGCGGCTGCACCGACGCGCGGCCCCCCCCAGGTCGCCCCTCCCGTCGCCTGTTGAGGCGACCTGGGGGGGGGGGGGGGGGGGGGGGGGGGGGGGAGGAGTACGGGGGGGCCAACGCGCGGCCTCCCAGGGCCCCAGAACAGGCGGAAGGAGGGGCGACGCGCGCCCCCCCAGGTCGCCCCTCCCGTCGCCTTGCGTGGCGAGCGGGGGGGGGGGGGGGGGGGGGGGCGGTGCACGGGCCCCTGGTGCGCCACGACAGGCATGAGGAGGGCGGGGCCTGGGCAGGGTCGGGGCATGGCAGGGGCAGGGCCGCGATAGGGCCGCGACAGGGTCGGGGCAGGGCCTGCGACAGGGGGCCGCGACGGGGGGGGGCCGCGACGGGGGGCCGCGACGAGGGCCGAAGTAGGGCCGGGGCAGGGCCGGAACAGGGCCGCAACAGGGCCGAAGTAGGGCCGGGGCTGGGTCGCAGTAGGGCCGGGACAGGGCCGCGACAGGGTCGGGGCAGGGCCGCGAGTCGCGCCGCAACGGGGGCCGCAAAAGGGGGGGGGGGCTGACGGGGCCGGACTGAGCCTTACGGGGCCTGACGGGGCCGCTAACGGGGCCTGACGGGGCCGTAAACGGGGCCTGACGGGGCCTTACGGGGCCTTACGGGGCCGTAAACGGGGCCTGACGTGGCCTTACGGGGCCTTACGGGGCCTTACGGGGGCGTAAACGGGGCCTTACGCGGCTGCGCGGCGCCTGGCTAGGCCGCAACGCGGCTGCTTTGGGGGCCGGCGCTGGCTCTAAGGGCAGGCGCAGGGGCCGCTACGGGCCTCGAAGGGCAGGCGCGACGCGCGCGTTGGGCATGTAAGAAAATTTTCAGTGTAAACATGGTGGGCCCTTAGGAAGGATCGATATTGCTCTATACCATGTGAGAATCAAGGAAGGAATGAATGCACTAGAAAGCAATTGAGTACATATAGGAAACCCTAACAGGGTTGTACTCACTATGGAGTACCCCACTGCAGACTAGAGAAACATGATATTCTGACAGCCTTCACCGCCTTCCCCTTCCAGCTCGCCAACACCTCCTTCACCGTCATCATCGCGATGTCCCAATGGTGTTCCGGGTCGGCGTGCATGTCGGGGTCGAGCTCGGGCAAGTCGACATCGGCATCTGCGTCATCGAGCAGCGTGCTGTAGGAGGTCGACAGGAGACATGCATGGTAGTTCAGCTTTTCTGTGGGCTTGCCGAGGTTGGAGCGGGTAGAACGCCTCGGCTTCACTTCTTCGACCGGGACTTCCACCACATCACTGTCGTCGGACTGCTCCCCTGCCGACAGCTCCCCTTCCTCGCAATCACCTGCCGTCTACTGAGCGCGCGCACTTTAGTCAGTACAAGAGTGCTAGGGCTCTGTACGACGCTGTAGTTGCACGCTACTCCTCCCCTGCCACTGCTGCCCTCAGCCGCCTCATGCTGCCGTACCTCTTTCCTGACCTTGCCGTCTTTGCCACAGTTGCTGACCTAGTTGCTAACCTCCGCACTAGTGACGCTCGCTACCGCGCTGCCCTTCCCACTGCGTTTCTTCCCACGAACTCCCCCCCCATGTACATCACCCTTTACTACCTAGTCACCCGCCTCCCTGACTCTCTCTCCTCAGTCAGGGATCACTTTCTCTCCCTTTAGCCTACCGAGCTGACTGTCGACTTGCTAGAGGAGCGCCTAGCTGCAGCTGAGAAGAGTATCTTAGCTGTTGGGGCTTCTCGCGGCGACCGTCGCACCCCCTTCTTTGAGGGGTGTTCCCCTGCCCCCCTTCTCCCCTCTGTTGCCTCTGCTGCTGCTGTCGACCTCGTTGGCACTGAGGAGGTCGGCGCTGCGTCTGCCCCTAGTGGGCGACGCCGCACTGGCAAGGGCAAGGGAAGCAAGGGCTGTGGAGGGGGCGGTGGAGGAAGCGGTGGAGGAGGTGGAGGTGGTGGTGGGGGTGGTCCCGGGGGTGGGGGCGTCGGTGGCGGCGGTGGAGGCCGTGGAGGCGGTGGCGGAGGCGGTGGAGGCGGCGGCAGCGGTGCTGGAGGTAGCGGAGGAGGTGGTGCTGGTCGCGGTGCAGCCACGCAGCGTGGAGGCCTTGGTGGCGGCCAGCGTCAGCAGCAGCTGCGCACCCGTGAGACCCCGTCTGTTCAGCAGCTTCGTGAGTGGTACGCTGGGCGTGGGAGGTCTGGGGGTGCAGGTCCCTGTGCGTACGTTCTTCGCACAGGCACTCGTAGCGGGGAGGTGTGTGGTCTCCCACACACCACGCAGTGCTGCTTCGGCCGCCTGACTGACGCTTGGCGTACCCAGTTTCCTGACGCTGTTGAGCTTCCTCGTTGGCATGATCTGCTTCTGCAGAATGTGCCTATCTTTGATCTAGATTTTGATGCTATCCTTGCTGCCATGTATGCTCTTGCTGATATTACTGAGGGTGACTGTTACCTGCGTGTCCCGCCCGACCCTGGCACTGTGGATGCTGCTCTAGGTGCTAGTGCGGCTGCTGCTCTAGGTGCTAGTGCGTCTGCTGCTCCAGGTGCTGGTACGTCTCCTCCCTCTGGTACTGCACCTACTGAGTCCTTTCACACCTTCACACTTGACTCTGGTGCTTCGCGCTCTTTCTTTAGAGACAGCACCACGCTCACGCCGCTCCGTCGGCCTGTTGCGGTCTCCCTTGCTGACCCCTCCGGGGGACCAGTCCTTGCACACTCCTCCACGGTTCTACCGTGTCCTGCGGCCCCGTCGGGCTTGCTGTCGGGACTCCACCTCCCCTCGTTCTCTACGAACTTGGTGAGTGGAGCTGACCTCCAGGACGCGTGGGTTGACCAGTTCACCCCTGGAGGTCAGCGTGTGACCCACTGCACTTGCTCTCGGACGGGCCGCCACCTGGCCACGTTCACTCGTCGGCCAGGGTCGAGTCTGTACACACTGACTACTGCGCCTCCTCCAGTCCCTGCGTCTGGTCAGGTAGCTGCGTCCAGTCAGGTGTTTGCTGCTGCGTCCAGGTCTAGTCCTGCGTCTGCCCCCTGCTCGTGTCGTCCTCTGGCGCACGAGACTCTCCTCTGGCACCACCGCCTTGGTCACCCCTCCCTGCCTCGTCTTCGAGGTATGGCCTCCCGTGCTCTTGTCTCTGGACTCCCCAGGTCCCTCCCTCCCCTTCTTCCGGGGCCTGCCCCCACCTGTGTTCCTTGTGTCGAGGGCCGGCAGCGCGCCGCTCCTCACTCCTCCTCGTTTCCTCCGACTGAGGCCCCTCTGCAGACTCTTCACATGGACGTGTGGGGCCCAGCCCGCGTTCGTGGACAGGGTCACGAGCGTTACTTCCTGCTGATCGTTGACGACTACTCGCGTTACACCACAGTCTTCCCCTTGCGCAGCAAGGGTGAGGTCACTGAGGTGTTGATCGACTGGATCCGCGGTGCTCGTCGCCAGCTTAGTGAGAGTTTCGGCTCCGACCTTCCTGTTTTGCGTCTGCACTCAGACAGAGGCGGGGAGTTTTCCTCCGACCTCCTGAGAGCCTTCTGTCGTTTGGAGGGCATCCGCCAGACGTTCACGCTTCCGGCCTCCCCGCAGCAAAATGGGATTGCTGAGCGCCGCATTGGCATGGTCATGGATGTCGCTCGTACGTCCATGATCCATGCGGCTGCTCCCCACTTTCTGTGGCCGTTTGCGGTTCAGTATGCTGCGCATCAGATCAACCTTCAGCCTCGTGTCTCCTTGCCGGAGACCACACCTACTCTGCGGTGGACGGGGAAGGTTGGCGATGCGTCCGCGTTCTGTGTCTGGGGATCTCGAGCTTTTGTCCGCGCTACTACAGCGGACAAGCTGTCCTCCCGTGCCGTTCCCTGTGTCTTCCTTGGCTTCCCTCCTGACGCACCCGGGTGGCAGTTCTACCACCCCACCTCGCGTCGTGTTCTGTCCTCTTAGGACGTCACGTTTGACGAGTCGGTGTCGTACTACCGTCTCTTTCCCTACCGCACTGCCTCTCCCCCTCCCCCGCCGCTCTTCCTTGCCCCAGGTACTCCTCCGGTAGACCCCCTCCACCCCCAGGGTCCTGCCCCCTCAGGTGTGTCCCAGGTAGACCCTGCCGAGCCGGTCGAGGTAGCTGTCGACTCAGGTGCTGCTAGGGGTGCTGACCCTGCGGGTGCGGGGACTGGGGGTGCTGAGACTGGGGGTGCTGAGTCTGGGGGTGCTGAGTCTAGGGGTGCTGAGTCTGGGGGTGCTGAGACTGGGCGTGCTGAGCCTGGGGGTGTGGCGCCTGAGGGTACTGTGTCTGGAGGTGCTGAGCCTGCGCGTGTTGAGTCTGTAGGTGCTCTGGGTGTCCCGTCGCGGCGGGAGCCCCTCTCTCCACAGCGGCTTCGTGAGTGGTACTCTCGGCGCTGTCGGGTTGCTGCTGGAGGTGCTGCTGGTGCGGGTGTTGCTGGAGGTGCTGGCGCTGCTGGAGGTGGTGCTGGTGCTGGAGCTGCTGGAGGTGCTGCTGGTGCTGGAGCTGCTGGAGGTGCTGCTGGTGCTGGAGGTGCTACTGGAGCTACTGGAGGTGCTGGCGCTGCTGGAGGTGGTGCTGGTGCTGGAGCTGCTGGAGGTGCTGGTGCATCTGGAGGTGGTGCTGGTGCTGGAGCTACAGGAGGTGCTGCTGGTGCTGGAGCTGCTGGAGGTGCTGCTAGGGCTGGAGACCCTGAGGCTGAGGGTATCGGTTCTGTCTCTGCTATTTCTGGAGGCGCTGTGCGGCCGCGGCCGTACTACGTTCCGCTTCTTCAGCAGGTTCTTGGCTCCCCACCTTCTCCTGGTCCTCCTCCTCCTTCCCTGAGTCCACCGCCTGTCCCGTCTCAGTCGCAGTTACAGCCGGCCTCTCCGCTGCCTGGTCCTTCTCCTTACTCTGGTCTGACTAGAGGTCTTATGGAGCGTCGTGAGCCTGAGTCGCGTCCTGTGTCGCCTGCGTCTCGTTCTACGTCGCCTGTCCGTTCTGTTCGCGCTGGTCGTGTTTCGCGTCCGCGTCTTCCTCCTGTCCCTGGCACTCACTCTATGACCCTGCGTCCTTCCACTGCTCCACAGCGTGTCCCTCTGCCCTCTCCTCCTGCGTCCTCTCTTCCTGACGGTCCGGACCCGGAGTCTGACTCCCTTCGTGCTGCTAGTCCTACTGTCACGCGCTTTCTGGCCACTGCTGTCACTGACCCCCTGTTTGAGTTCTCTGCTGCGTCTGCTCTTGTTGCTGAGCTTGTTGACTTTGCTGCAGCCTGTCGCCTAGACTACGCCGCTAGTCTTGTTGCTGGGACTGCGTCTCTGTCTGTCTGTCCTCCGTACGTCGGGGGTGAGTGTGCTCTTGGCACGGACGTCCTTGAGGACAGGCAGGAGGACCTTGAGTGTTTTGCTGCTGCTTCACCTCATCTCGTGTCCATGCTGCTTGCCCCTGAGGGAGACCCGGATGCACTAGACATCCCGACCCCGCGCTCTTACGCAGAGGCGATAGAGGGTCCCTACTCCTCCCAGTGGCAGGCAGCCATGGACGCAGAGATGGCTTCCTGGAAGTCCACAGGCACCTACGTAGACGAGGTTCCCCCACCTGGGGCGAACATCGTCAGTGGCATGTGGATCTTCAGGGTGAAGCGGCCGCCGGGTTCTCCGCCTGCCTTCAAGGCGCGTTACGTTGCACGTGGCTTCAGTCAGCGACAGGGAGTTGACTTCTTTCAGACCTTCTCCCCTACCCCGAAGATGACCACTCTTCGGGTACTGCTGCACGTTGCTGCTTAGCGTGACTACGAGCTCCACTCGCTTGACTTCAGCACAGCCTTCCTACAGGGCAGCCTGCACGAGGAGATCTGGCTGCGCCGCCCACCTGGCTTCACTGGGTCGTTTCCTGCTGGTACCCAGTGGAGCCTCCGGCGGCCAGTCTACGGTCTCCGCCAGGCGCCCCGTGAGTGGCATGACACGCTCAGGACGACTCTTGCTGCTCTTGGTTTTGCTCCTTCCACTGCTGACCCTTCTCTGTTTCTACGCACTGACGATACTCTGCCGCTGTTCTACGTTCTTGTGTACGTAGACAACCTTGTCTTTGCTACTGCTGACACGGAGGCACTCGCCCACGTGAAGTCGGAGCTGCAGAAGAGACACACGTGCACAGACCTGGGTGAGCTCACAAGCTATCTTGGCTTGCGGATCACCCGGGACAGAGCACAGCGCACCATTACCTTCACTCAGTCACACATGGTGCAGCAGGTCCTTCAGCGCTTCGGCTTCACCTACTCCTCGCCACAGTCCACTCCTCTGCCTACCGGTCACTCGCTCTCAGCTCCACCTTCGGACGAGTCCGTAGAGCCGAGTGGCCCGTATCCAGAGCTTGTGGGCTGCCTCATGTACCTGATGACTTGCACACGACCTGACCTCGCATACCCTCTCAGCCTTCTGGCTCGCTACGTGGCTCCCGGCAGGCACCGAAAGGTGCACTGGGATGCTGCGAAGAGGGTGTTGCGATACTTGTGCAGTACATCGGGCATGGGGCTCGTGCTTGGAGGACGGGCTTGAGTTGTCCTCAATGGTCACGCTGACGCCTCCTGGGTTGACGACTTGGCTACGCAGCGGTCGTCACAGGGTTACACCTTCAGCCTTGGCTCCGGTTCTGTCTCCTGGCGGACTACCCGCTCTTCTTCTGTTCTCAGCTCCAGTTGTGAGGCTGAGATCTACGCTGGGGCCATGGCTGCACAGGAGCTTCGCTGGCTCATCTACCTGCTGACCGACTTGGGAGAGGCGCCTCGTTCTCCTCCAGTTCTGTACGTCGACAACAAGGCCATGCTGGCCTTGTGTCAGGAGCACAGACTGGAGCACAGAACGAAGCACATTGCTCTGCGCTACTTCCTTGCTCGAGAGTTGCAGCAGCGTGGCCAGCTTTGTCTTGCTTACGTGGCCTCTCAGGCCAACACTGCTGATGTCTTCACCAAGGCACTTCAGCCTTGTGATCATCAGCGTTTCTGTACTGTGTTAGGCCTTGTACCTACTGTGCCTCACTTGTTGACTTCTTGACTCTGCTTGTACTGTACTCTATATACTTATACCTGCATGCTTACACTTGCTAGGTTGTGTTCACTGTACTGTTTACTTTCCTTTATATAACTCTGCATGTGAACTGGCCTTATGGCCCTTTGCTTGTGCTCAGACTGTGTGGGGACTTTGTGATCCACCCTGAGCTTGCTTTGCCTTTCTTGACTGGTCTTGTGACCTCTTGTTCTCCCCCACTTTGCCTATGGGGGTGTGTCAAACTTATATCTGCTATGGTCTATTTAGGCTGTAGTGGGGTAGCTCTTA